AGTCCATATTCTTCATAAAAGATAGACTCTGAAGTCTTTCTCAGGTAGTTTCTTAGTCACCCAATGATTAGACAGTACTTACATAAGCACCTGAAGCCAGTAACTCTCCCAGTCTTTGCTGACAGCTTTGTATGAGTGTTGGGACATCCTCCGACACCCAACACCCAGCCAGGAGGTTGACAACTCTGCCTTCATCTTCACTTTCTGCTGGAGCAGTTCACCAAGATCAACCTAAGGTGAGAGTTAAGATGTCTCCAGGTCTTTCCTGAGCAGGAATAACAATCCTTGGCTTGTGCAAAGTCCCTGGTCTATGCATGTACAAGGTCATCTAAATTCCCAGGAATGGCAGAGCTTTTTGAAGCCTCTCATCACTCAACTTTTCCTTTTTAGTTTATGGTTAGCCTGCTGTTTGCTCCAATGGCTATTACTTCAGGCAGCCACAAATGCCTCTGATTTTTTCTCATTAAATACTTGGAAAAGCACTGGTGGCAAACTCTGATCAGAGAAAATAAAGACAGTCTTGCAAGTGAGGTACTCTGGGAAACCACCAAACAATTCTCTGGGAATGAAGCATTGAAGGAGCTCCAACCCCATTCTTCCAGTGGCTTCTATGCTGCTGCTTCTACCATGATTGTGAACTGTTGGTCTTCAGGGATAAGCAGTACTAGAAATGGGCAGGGGGAATGGAAATAAAACTAGTTAAAATAACCACAAAACTTACAGTTCTTGCTGAGATTCAGCTATTTCTCTTGCATAAATATTTCTTGGGATGCTGCAAGATTAATTTCCAGAGATCTGAAAAAAGTTGACTCTGATTTTTTTTGCAAATTTTTTCCTTGTCTTTATGGAGGAGAGAATTTCCAGAGGTCCTTATGCCACCATTTTGGCTGGCTTTAAGTATTTAATGTCTTTATTTTCCTTAACAAAGTGAATCTGGTTAAAACAATAAAGTCATCACCATTGACATTTCTATGCATTGACATGGTTCAAGCTCAACCATACTATAAACAGCAGTATCTGTGAGAATGACCAAAGTGGATATAATATGAATCGTAGAAAATATCCACACTACAAATGAGTAGTGTCAAAATGTTTCAGCAGACAGACTCAGAGTATTAGGAGATTTTTTCACAATATAAAAACGAAGGAGGGAAGGAAGGAAGGAAGGAATCTTGGTATACTATAGTCTCAAAATTGCTATGAGAAGCAAAACCTGACAGGTAGCAAGGATAATCCACACTCTGCTCTAAGGTGAACTGGAGGCAGGGGGGCTGGGGGAAACCTGGCCAACCCTTGCAAGTCTCTTAATTACATATAGAAATGACTTCCAAACGCTCCACCTTCTGTCCAGCTGGCACCCTGGGCTTCAGTACCTTTCGGTCTCTGTGTACCATACAGCCATGCATCAAAGAGAATATCCTAGACTGTGAAGCAGTCTCTTTTCCTGACCAAGGATAACAGGCATTCAGCTATGATCAATCCCTTTCCTAGAGACCCTTGCATCACTTTCAGATCTATCAGCTACTAGCACAGGGAGGTACTACCTGGGTAGGAATAGTGAGACTTGAATGAGTTTTAGATAGCCATGTAGTTATTTTCAAGAATACAGACTTCATAAAAATTCCCTCAGTTTAACAGAAGGCAAGATATCACTTAACTTTCCTGGATAAATGTAGAAGAGCCTCATCAGGAGTGTAAGCAAGAGTTGATGAAAACCACGAAAATAATAAGAGCATAATAAATTGTCCAGGGTTATGTAAGGATACATTTTAAAATAAGACTCCCGATTTTTAAATAAGATTTTGAGTCTATGAAATGAATTTACATCTCAATATTGAATTACATCAGGTTGCATTAGTGTTGGCCCAGTTAGGAATCCATGATCATAAGTCATCTGAATAAAAATGTTTTGATTTCTCCTGAAGCAATGTATCATGTTTAAGCCTTTTACAGTAAAGATGAACATGTCTGATTTTTCAACTCAGGAAACAGAAACCTAATTTTACTATTAATAATTTCTAAAAGTGGTTTTGAAAGATTACAAAATAGGTCTGTATTTTAGAGAAAACTATGTGTAAAGCCTTGTAAGCCAACTGGTATTGAAGTATTTTTCTTAAATTGTGAACATTTTAATTTGTGGAATTAAATGTGGAAGAAAAGAGAGATGTACATTAAACTAGGAAGACAAGCCAGAGTGTGAAAGGTTTTAGTGAGTGTTAAGTACGTTGACCAAAAGATGTTTAATGTAAACCATGCTTTTCCAGAAAAGGAGGGTCAGATAACAAAGGAGTTCATCCTTCTATTAACCAGAACGTATCCTCCACTAGCCAGGACTCTTCTGTGTATTGGTCAGTTTTAAAACTATTAAAGTCTGCTCAAAATATGCATTTTATTCATCAAAGATGCAACATTTCATTCATCTATGCAATGTTATGTAATTGAGGATTTTTGCATAATAACAACTTGGCATTTCGAAGAACACTGATACAGTAATCCAGTTTAAATGGATCCTCTATGAACTGTATCTTAAGAAGGTCTATGCCCAAAAGGGTATCCTGGATTTTAAAATTTACCAATATCCACATATCAGATTATTGATGTAAACTTACCTGAACAGGCTATATTTTCCAGACAATTAACTTTTGGGGCATCATTATAATTGCATGAAGTATTTCTCTACCTAAGATAACCATTGCTCAGGAAAACACATATATAATAACTTAAGAATTTTCTGCAAAGCTCTGGACACAATTAAATATTTAGAATGTAGGCAAATCTTCTCCAGTCTACAATACTCCTTTATAATATTAAAAGATTAAGAATGACACCAATGAATGAATAGCACCAAAGAAGTCAAATTATAAGTTCCATTACTCATCAATTAAATTGGATTCTGCATCAAATTTGGTTCTGGTCTCAGGATTAAGGCTGAGACCATCCAAATGTTGTCTGCCTAGCCCACTGCTGGAGTTCGACTTACATTATTCGTACACAGGCTGTTTGGATTGTAGCTGTCTTTGTAAAATCTCAAACAAGTTAAAAGTATTACCTATCCTTGTTTCAATAGAATCCTGAATATTAGGTTATCAAATTTCACAACTCCATTTTAAGATATATGATTGTAGAGGGTGAAGTAGAAAGATGTTGAAACATATTACTGTCACTTAAATGATAGGTAGCAGCCTCTTAGGCCTGAACCACATTTGTGAAATTTCATGCCACATTTTCACCTCCCAATTTATATACATGGAGGGGTTACACTAAAACTTCAATTATTGCAAAAGATGAAAGAAGTGTTACATTTGATATGGATCTTCAGTTCCTATTATACTATAAGCCTTTGAAAGATTAAGGCTGAAGAGGCCAAGTTATGAAAGGGACAAGAGGAAGTGAGAACAGTGGAAATACAGTTGATAATGTTCTGCCTTCACCATTCTGTGTGTATAGTCTGCTTTCCGGGCAGCAGGTGGTGTGACTGTGAAAAGATCACACATTCGTCAGTAACTATGTAGGATTTTTTAGCACTGTTAGAGCCTAGCATTACAGATTTAGGGCAGCTAATAAAATTCCATAAACCAAATTTTTGACAAATCTAAAATTTTTGGAAAATCATTTTCCTACCAAGTAAACCTTCTTGGTTCCCTTTTAATCCTGCCTTTAGAGAAAACTATGTACAATTAAACTTTTTAAAAACGTTAAAAAAGAATCAGTTCACAGCAACCAGATGAACATCTGGCAGCAAAGCAACATTAAAATGCCATCCTTTCAAGGGAAGAGCAAATATGTGAGTCCTCCACTAAGCATTATCTTATGTCAGAGTACAATCTCACACTTTCCATTTATGGCCTTTTTGCAAAGTCCGAGGCTGAATTTGGACCTGTGTTTCCTGTGTTTTCTCAGTGTTATCTGGACAACAGTGTGTCAGGCACTTAAGAAATCTAGGGTCAAAATGAAGATTATCTAATGCCGCAGGTATTTAAATAAATGTGCACAGACTGTACTTAGAATCACCTTGCTAAAAACTAGTAGGAGAAGTAGCTGAGACTTGTTTATCATATGTAACAAAGATATTTCAAAGTCAGCGTAAGAATCCATCTAACAAGAAACACCAGAGGTCATATTTTGATGTGTTCTCTCCCTTTCTCAGTAGCCAGAAAATGCTTAAATCCAGAAAGAAAAGAATCAGATTCTTTTAAAGCCTCAAATATTTCTCAAACTCTTCTCAAATTAAAAAAAAAAAATCTTATCAGGGAATAAAAAATTCAAAAATTATTTTTTGTAGTCTTTCAAAAGTGTCTATTTCATTTATAGCCTAGTTTTATTTTTAAAACCCTCACAAAATAGGTTGCAAAACTTTATAAACAAGGTTGTAACTTTCTAAAGGGTGTGTGGTAGGACCCTTGTGAAGCCCCTACTAGAGTCCAGCTTGGAGCCAACTCAGGCACCCTCTCTGCCCTCCCCTGCACCCCCAACCCCTACCCCCACCCCTCTGCCAACAGTTCAATACTATTGAGGTCATAGGGTTGGCTGAAATTTGTTAAAAACATGGAGAGTAACCTCTGGGGAATAAATCACTGGGGGAAGAAAGAGAGAAGAGAAGATTACAAGTACCATTGAAGGTATATATGTTCAAAAGTTAATTTGGTTATATTATCAAATTATAGTTCTTCAGAGAGCTGAAACTTGCTCTAAATTAGATTTGGGGAGGCATATCAAAACTAAATCATCTGCATATGAGACACACTCACATAAAAAGAAAAACACAGACGACCAAGGGTTCTTCAGTCGGGGGAGGCTATATTCCAACTTTGGGGAAGGGTGAAGGCATTTCAGTTCTGACGCTTGATCGTGACGTTCCAGAGTCCTTCAGTCTCCGAGTGTGGCAGGACGCAAGGGCTGCTGGGCCTGGCTCGACTCTCCACCCCTCTGCCGCACAGTGTGTGGTATGCGGGCAACTGCAGTGTCAAGCTGGCACTGCTCCTGAGGCTCTTGAGTGTTTATCAACTCAGTAGGTCAAAAGTCTGCAGACACTGGGTGGAGCAGCAGTAAGCCACAAAACTCACAGTTGTCCTCCTGGGGAAAGAGGGAGATGAACACCATGAGTTCAAGAGGAAAGCTTCAGGATTCCTTCCGTTAGAGACAGTCTTTCTTGGTTAAAATAAAGAATTAGGTATGGTCAACAGAACACACCACAGAAATGTAAATTCCTTTTAAAACTGAGCACTGGAATGAGGTGAGGTATGCTTGTGCTCATTTTATGAGCAGCTTTCAGACAACACCTCTATGTCAGCTGGAGCGGGTTGACTTGCCAACCTCCAGGGGATCTTCCCAAACCAGGGGTCAAATCTGAGTGTCTTATGTGTCCTGCAGTGGCAGGCAGGTTCTTCACCAGTAGTGCCACCTGGGAAGCCCCCTATGTTAGCAGCCTAGGAAAAATTAGCTTTTTCCATGTTATGGCCTGAATTCTACTTACAAGACCCAGTGTAATGAGAGAATTTGAAATACATTATAAAAATCATGTAATTGAAAATGTCACCAATTTAACTAGAAAATACACACACACACACACACACACACACACACCAAAGAGTTTAAAAAACACAATTTTAAGGGATTTATCCTAAAAATGTATTCCCATAGATTGCTTATAGAGGTAATTTCAGAATCTGAATCCTGGAGTTTGAGGGTCTTTTCCCACAAAGCAGAGGAATCCTGTCTCAAACTCCACTTGGCATCTTCCTGCAGTGAGTTGTGAGCCAGTCTGGGCAGCTCCAGTGGCTGGATGCCTTGTTTTCCCACCAGAAGTGCTATCCTCTGGTGAGGAGAGAATAGTCTACTGTTAATTAATAGTCTACACAGGATTCCCTGTGCTGTTTTCTCTTTTCCCCACTCCCCAACCCAGTCTTTGCCTTTCTCTGTGGTGGCACTAGTGGTAAACAACCCACCTACCAATGCAGGAGATATAAGAGATGTGGGTTCAATCCCTGGGTCAAGAAGATCCCCTGGAGGAGGGCATGGCAACCCACTACAGTATTTTTGCCTGGAGAACCCCATGGACAGAGAAGCCTGGTGGGTTACAGTGCATAAGAACTGCACAGAGTTGGACACGACTGAAGTGACTTAGCACACATGCATGTCGTCCAAGAAGGTGACCTCTACAGACCCTACCTCCCAAACTGCCTGATGGCTGGTTTCTGGATGAATTAGGACAGTAGGAGGCACAGCCACAGGGTAAAGGGCAGGAAGAGAGAAAAGCTGAAATGTTTTTTCTTCTTTTTAAGAAAAAGTCGAGTTAATACAGTTATAGGTACACACAAACAGAATAAAATTCATCCATTTTAAGTGTACAGTTAAATCAGTTTTGAAATATGTACAAGTATTTAACACCACAATCAACATATAAAATATTGCTCATCTCTCTAAATGTTCCTTGTGTCCACTTGCAGCAAAGCACCATCCCCCTAGCCCCCTACCAAGTCTCTGGCAACCACTGATAAACCGTTTTGTTTCTCAATGGGCTTTAATTTTCTCTGGGTCACCACAATTCTCCAAAAGAAGCTTTGCCATTGTATCATCTTGGACGATCAAAGATCTCAAGGCAAGAGCTAGACCTACTTCTATGGGTTCTCCTGTCTTAGATTTTTGTACTAATCCTGGATTCCCTAACCAGCTAGGTTTGGCTGATATGAGGATATAGCTCTCCTGGATGGACCCTCCTATATGGCTTTAGTTCTCACTGGGCTCCAGTCACAATTTTCAGCACCCAACCAGGCAGCTGACAACTTTGCTCTAGCCTTCACGTCCTGAATGCATGGAGTCTCACTTCCTGCCAGCAGAAGTGAAAGCTCAGGGCCTTCTTGGGTCTTCTCTAAACATGCCCACATTCTTAGGCATGCACACGACCTTACATACTCCCAGAAATATGTCAGTGCTTTTTGAAGCCCCTGCAGAAACCTCATTCTCCTATCTTCCTTTTCAGCCTTCAGTTCAGTTCAGTTGCTCAGTTGTGTCCAACTCTTCCAACTCTTTGTGACCCCAAGGACTGCAGCACGCCAGGCTTCCCTGTTTATCACCAACTCCCAGAGCTTGCTCAAACTCATGTCCATTGAGTTGATGATGCCATCCAACCAACTCATCCTCTGTCACCCTCTTCTCCTGCCTTCAGTCTTTCCTACCATCAGGGTCTTTTTCCAATGAGTCAGTTCTTCACATCAGGTGGCAAAAGCACTGAGCTTCAGCTTCGGCATCAGTCCTTCCAATGAATATTCAGGACTAATTTCCTTTAGGATTGGTTTGATCTCCTTGCAGTCCAAGGGACTTTCAACAGTCTTCTCCAACACTGCAGTTCAAAAGCATCAATTCTTTAGTGTTCAGCTTTCTTCATGGTCCAACTCATCCATACATGATTACTGAAAAACTATAGCTTTGACTATAAGGACCTTTGTCGGGAAAGTAATATCTCTACTTTTTAATATGCTGTCTAGATTGGTCATAGCTTTTCTTCCAAGGAGTAAGCGCAGTCTAATTTCACGGCTGCAGTAACCATCTGCAGTGATTTTGGAGCCCAAGAAAATAAAGTCTGTCACTGTTTCCATTGTTTACCCACCTATTTGCCATGTAGAAATGTTGAGTTTTAAGCCAGCTTTTTCACTCTCCTCTTTGGAACCAGTCTGTTGTTCCATGTCTGGTTCTAACTGTTGCTTCTTGACCTGCGTACAGATTTGAGGGCAGTGCTTTAACAGCATCATCTTTTAGGACCTGAAATTGCTCAGCTGGAAATTCTATCACCTCCACTAGCTTTGTTCATAGTGATGCTTCCTAAGGCCCACTTGACTTCACATTCCAGGACGACTGGCTCTAGGTGAGTAATCACACCATCATGGGTATATAGGCCATTAAGATCTTTTTTGAATAGTTCTTCTGTATATTCTTGCCACCTCTTCTTAATATTTTCTGCTTCTGTTAGGTCCGTACTGTTTCTGTTCTTTATTGTACCCATCTTTGCATGAAACGTTTCCTTGGTATCTCTAATTTTCTTGAAGAGATCTCTAGTCTTTCCCATTCTATTGCTTTCCTCCATTTCTTTGCATTGATCAGAGAGGAAGGCTTTCTTATCTCTCCTTGCTATTCTTTGGAACTCTGCATTCAGATGGATAAATTCTTCCTTTTCTCCTTTGCCTTTCACTTCACTTCATTTGTCAGCTGTTTGTAAGGCCTCCTCAGACAACCATTTTGCCTTTTTGCATTTCCTTTTCTTGGGGAGTTTTGATCACCGCCTCCTGTACAATGTGAACCTCTGTCTACAGTTCTTCAGGTACTCTGTGTATCAGATCTAATCCCTTGAATCTATTTGTCACTTCCCCTGTGTAATTATAAGGGATTTGATTTAGGTCACACTTGGATGGTCTAGTGGTTTTCCCCACTTTCTTCAATTTAAGTCTGAATTTTGCAGTAAGGAGTTCATGGTCTGAGCCACAGTCAGCTGCCAGTCTTGTTTTTGCTGACTTTATAGAGCTGCTCCATCTTCGGCTGCTTAGTCTACTATTTGGCCCAATAGTTATCCACTGCCTCAGACATCCGTGAAGTTAAGCAATTGCTTGTAATTGTTTTGACAATTTTTTGACAAATACCCTCCGGGAAGAGGTTTTCTGTACTGGTGAGCTCTGACTGAAGAAACAGAAGACAGGCTTGCAAGCAGGGTTTCTTACTGAACCCTCCTTTGAAGGTGCTCCTACTTCCTTCCACACTTTTCCAACCGCTGCCAGCTTGCTAGTTTTAACTGTGATTGCAGATCCTTAGTTTTCAAGGTTAAGACTAGAGGATGGGACTTTAAGTTAAAACATCACAAAGATCTCTGTTCTTTCTGAGATCCAGCCACTTTTCTTGAATAAGTGCACTCCAGATTGCTGTAAGATTTCTTGATTTCCAGAGTTCTGAAAAATTCAATTCTGACAACTTTTGCCAGTTTTTTCCCCTGCTTTTATGGTATGGTTGACTATTTCCCCTCACTCTATCTCTACCTCTCTGACCAGAGCTTTTATTGGGCAGGTCTCTCATGATGGCTCTAGTTCTCAACAGGCTCCAGATCTTCCTTTGTTCTTTAAGCCAAAAGATTAAGAATAATAAACCTTCCTACTACTGTAAGTTCCTAGGTACTTTCTCATCCCTGTGGGTGCTCTGAATCCTGCCTGAACTCCTATAAATAGTCCCTCACTATTAATTCCTCTTCAACATTCCAGCTTATGTGTGTTTTCCAGCCAGTACTGTGACTTGATTTAGTGTGTGTTAGAGGGAGTGGCCTACCCAGATAATCATAATAGTGTGATCACTCACCTAGAGCCAGACATCCTGGAATGTGAAGTCAAATGCGCCTTAGAAAGCATCACTATGAACAAAGCTAGTGGAGGTGATGGAATCCCAGTTGAGCTATTTCAAATCCTAAAAGATGATGCTGTGAAAGTGCTGCACTCAATATGCCAGCAAATTTGGAAAACTCAGCAGTGACCACAGGACTGGAAAAGGTCAGTTTTCATTCCAATCCCTAAGAAAGGCAATCCTAAAGAATGCTCAAACTACCGCACAATTGCACTCATCTCACACACTAGTAAGGTAATGCTCAAAATCCTCCAAGCCAGGCTTCAGCAATACGTGAACCGTGAACTTCCAGATGTTCAAGCTGGTTTTAGAAAAGGCAGAGGAACCAGAGGTCAAATTGCCAATATCTGCTGGATCATCGAAAAAGCAAGAGAGTTCCAGAAAAACATCTATTTCTGCTTTACTGACTTCGCCAAAGCCTTCAACTATGTGGATCACAATAAACTGTGGAAAATTCTGAAGGAGATGGGAATACCAGACCACCTGACCTGCCTCTTGGGAAACCCGTATGCAGGTCAGGAAGCAACAGTTAGAACTGGATATGAAACAACAGACTGGTTCCAAATAGGAAAAGGAGTACGTCAAGGCTGTATATTGTCACCCTGCTTATTTAACTTATATGCAGAGTACATCATGAGAAACGCTGGGCTGGAGGAAGCACAGGCTGGAATCAAGATTGCCAGGAGAAATACCAATAA